GGTGAGGGTGATGCCAAGGGTGCTTCCCTCATGTGAGGGCTCCGCCTGTGAGGAACCTGGCCGGCACCTCCCCGCCGATGCATACATGGAGCTTGCACGCCCCAACCCCTACACAAGGTGATGCCGGGGAGCAGCGGGGGCAGCAGCGCACACTCCACGCATGTGGCGGCAGCGGCGGGCCAGGTGGACACGGCGGACGGCGGTGGTACGTGGCGGTACGTACCTGCCGGAAGTGCCGCACGTTGACCCGCTGGGTCAGGTCTACAGATGGACCCACATAGCCCAGCTCCACCTGATTGTGTGTTAGAGGGGGTGGGAATGCAACACGCAAGGATGTTGTGTGCCGCAAGCTCCACTGCGGATACGCAGGCTTGCAGCCTGAACACCAAAAGCGAGGAAACGCATCGAATGCGCGACTGAACAGCGCACCTCGTAAAACACGAGAGGGACGCCGCCGGCTGTGACCAGCACCGAGGCCGCCAGCGGCTGCGGCGCGTCGATGCAGGTGGCGCCGGCCACCAGGCCCAGACCGTACTGATCCACAGTCAGGCTGACGGAGGGGGAGGAGCAGCCAGCGTCGCGGGTGGCGGTGTGCAGGGTGAGGGTGGCGCAGCCGGGTGCTGGCGGCTCGACCTGCAGCACAATGGCGCGACTTGCTGACAGCCAAACAATGCGGTGGGCGCACGCGCCGCCCAGCCTCGCCGTGTGGAAGCACAGCCAACCTTAGTCACCACAAAACGTCATCCGGGGGCGGTGCCGCAGCCAGGCAGGGAAACAAAAAGGAAAGCAGCAAACCAGGCAGCGAGGCAGGAACAAGTCAAAGAGAAAGCAACAGAGTAGGGCAGGCAGCCTGACCTCCAGACCTCCGACGCCGTCGGCGCTGGCAGTCGCGAGGTCGTAGTCGCAGGGCAGCTTGGGGAAGGTGCGGAGGTGCAGTAGCTGCGGGATGAAGGCAGGTGGGGGCCCAGGTGTTACAGTCACCCCGCTATGATAGGCCGCGTGAGCAGACCTTGGGCAGGGGGCACACGTGATCAAGGGGCATCAAGAGAGGGGGTGGACCATGGAGCACCCTCTCCATGGCTCCGACCACCCTCCCCCCAGCTGAGCGTCCCAGGGTCACCCCACCCTGGCCCCGCTCCCCGTCCTGCCGGACACGCAACCCCCACAACGTGGTGGGGGACGTGGGGATCCTTAGCAGCTTAGGCCTGCCAGGCCGACGGGTGCCGATGCTGGTGCGGGCTCCCGGCGGCAGGCAGCGCCGCCGCCGGGCACTCAAATGGCATGGGGCACATGGGCCCCCATGCCCGCACATCTCCCAGGCACATGAAAATACCAGAAGGCTGCACATGTAAGGGTGCATGCATTGCA